CACAGAAGTCCCATGTGCCCTGTCTCATTTTCCTAAAACATAGCTATAATGCAGAAAACTTCCCATAATTATTAGGTAGGGATTTGGGAGAATTTTAGCTTCTTTTGTTTTCCTCAAATTCATCATCTTACTCAGTAACTAGACTAGATGGATGGAAGAAGTATTTAGTCAGACTGGAAAAAGGATACAACTCTAGCATTTCTGCGACTAATGCATGCTGAATACAAGGAAACGTTTTAGTGTTCCTGAAAACATTTTTTTTTTTCATTTTCTTTTTCTTTGCCTTTAGTCTCTTCACAGTTTCCACAACATGTATATTTATATTATCAGGCCAGTGCAATACAGATGTATGTAGAGAAAATGTTAATTATCCCATCACTCACCAGTACTTGTGGTAACCATACCTTTGACTCTTGTAAACATACAGAAATCTATACAAAACAATTTATTTTCTTGCTTTAAGTAACATAAAAAAAGCATCATACCATACACATGACTCTGGAAGAGTTTTTTAACCAACATGTCTTAATATCCCTTGAGGGATTTAGTTGCAGTTCATTTGTATAAAATAGGAACATATTCCCTGATAGGATAGGACCTTAATTTATTCAGTTATTTGCCAACTGATGCATTCAAATTTTTTCTAATTTCCTCTGTATAATATTACTGCAGTAAATATCTCCAGCTGATACTTTTATTTCTGCCAGACAGACTCACAAAAGTATGGTTCTAACCGAAATGCACAAGGACATGTATTTTACAGTCAGTCTGGTTGGACCCACAACTTCACCAGGTGGGCAGAGCCATCCCTGCCCCACCTCTGAACATCTGTCCTAGACTCACTTATCTTCGGATCCTGTCACTCCTCTGAACATCTGCTCAAAGGATGGTAAGGTGACATCTCCTTGGTGTTCAGTTTACCTTTCTTTCCCATTCAGAGGAATGTTCTTCTTGACCGCTTACACCTCTTATTTTGTGATTTGCTTTCATGATTTCCACCTGCTTTTATTGAGATATGATTGACATAATGTAATTTGCCTCTATTCTTCAAAACCAACCTGGTACACATTTAGAACATTGTGTATAATATGAATGGGTTGTTCCAACTAAATGCTGTTATATGAGTATATTAAGATCATCCAAGATTGATTATACAAAGTCTTTGAGCTTCAGAGCAAAACAGATTTCTTTGTTAATAGATGATTCAAACATAAAACATGGTCCATAAACTTAATCATTCACAGCAAGTAGTAGAGTGTACTGAGTCAAGGGTAATTAAAGACAGTTGTTAACATCCAGATTTTTCAAACTGTGTCTGAGGATAGAACAAAAACATCACATACTTGGTGACTTGAATATAGAGCTTAAGCATCTCATGAATTTGTAGCTGTGTGATACCTTTTAATTTGGATATTCATTGGACCTACCATTTTACACCAGCTCCTCTTACACTGTTTGTATTTGTCTTCTGCTCATTCTGGCAACTCCACCTTGGAGCCACTGGGCACCCCTTGGCCACTGACCTAGTGACGAAAATCACATTGTGTGCACACAGCCGCTCAGAGGCCTTGAGGATGGGGCCACCTCTGAAGAGCTTCCACTGCAGTGAGAGTCTTCTGATGATGAACCTGCTTATCTCATGAGGATCCTGAAAACACACCTGAAAAGGTGTGAGGCAAGAAGGTCAAAAGACATCCCCTGCCTTTGGGGAAGGGAGGAGCCACTGAGCAGCCAGCTGTCCCCTTGCACCTCAGCACTTCCCACCATGGGCCTTCTGGCTCCATGGGAGGCTGCGGACACCCTCCCCCACTCCCGGGGGATGTTCTAGGCCCTCTAGAAAGCTGCGGAAATCCCTTTGGAGGGGTCCCTTTTAGTGGCTAGAACTGGCTGGCAGCCTGGACTTTGAAAAGGGAGTAAATGCAGGGTCCAGGCTCACCAGGGAAAGCTCTCTGCTCCCCTGGGCTCAGGCCCCATCTGCTGAGTGGCATCCTGCTGAGGGGAGAGGCTGACAACCAGCTTCAGTCCCCCCAGGGCCAAATCATAGCTGGGAGGCCTTGGTCTTCTCTGACCTCAATTGCCTTGTCTCTAAAATCAGTACCATAAGGGTACCTGTTTTGCAAGGTTGCTGTGAGGATTAAGGCACAAGCAAACTGCTGTGAAACCCTCCAGGTAATTCCTTAACAAAGGCAGGTCCTGGCCCTCCAGCCTGTAGGCTCCTCTGCCTGCGGCCATGAGTAGTCAGCCCCACTGTCCTGAAGCACCACCTTCCCAGAGCTCTGGTGCCAGCTGCCCTGTGTGGCCTCCTGGCATCACTCCCGTCCCCACGGCCCTCCCAGCACCTGTCTATGGGACCGGCTGCCATCCATCTCCTCTGCTCCCTGACTCTGCCTTCAGTTCCCAGCTTGCCGTCAGAACAGTGGCAGAACCATGCTGGTGGTTCCCCCACCTGCCGCATCTCAGCAGTGCCCTCACGGCCCGGCTTCCTTCTCTTCCTTGGTGGCCTTGTTCTCTGCCTATGTGTCTGCTGCCTTCTCTTCTCTGCAGCTGCCCATCCTGCCCCCCTGCCCTGGGTCCTCGGTCCTGGGCCGCCCCCTGCCCACTCATGCCTCCCTGAGAGCACTCCTCCATCCAGGTGTGCTCCCTCCTGGCTGAGGGCTCGCTGGCCTGTACCTCTAGCCCAGGCCTCTCCCAGAACTCCCAGCATGGATAGGCAAGGCCCTGTTTCACAGCTCTGCCTCAGACATTCCAAATGTGTGCACCCCAGACTAAGCACTTAGCAAATCCTTCACAGATCTGCTTATCTTCCCTTCTTTCCACCTGAGGAAATAGTCTCTCCTTCCAGCTCATTAAGAAACCTGCCACAGCCTCGATTCCTACCTCACCCGCACCACCTCTTGTCTGGTTTGCTGTTTCCCTTGGTATTACTGCTAGACACCTGCCAGCTTCTTACTCCTGCACTACCATCCCAGACTCCTGGCCTTCCCGTACTCAGCTCTCCAGGTTGCAGGCCCAGTGATCTTAGAAGTGCCCACCATGTCCTGGCACATCCAGAATAACCACACAGAATAGACTCCCCAGCCCGCACCTGCCTGTGGTACCACACAGCCTCACCGCAAGCCGGCTCTTCTTTGCTCTCTGGGGCTTCTCTCTGCTGACCTTGCTCCTTCTGTTTCAAGGCCAATACAACTGCTGTTCCCTCCCCTGGAATGCTCTTCCTGTTACTCCTTGCCCAGCCCATCTCTACTCAGCTGCAGAGGCGGTCCCCAGCCACCCATCTAAATCGGGCCCCTGTTACTATCCTTTACCTCGGCCTGTCCTTTCCCTCACTGCCCTTACCATGGTTCAGGGTGGGCATGCTTTGTGTATGTGGGGGAGGGTTCTGTGTGGTGGGGGGAGTGTGCACACGTGTGTGTGTCTGTCCCACTGGGCCCTGGACTGCGAAGGGTTCAGAGCAGGTTTGTTTTGTTCCCAAATGTCTGGCCTGCGCCTGGCACATGGGTGCCACATGGGAAGTGGTTGGTCATCTTCTAGGAGGGAGGAGCACCAGCTCCCACCATAGTGGTGCCCCAGCAGAGAATGCCTGCTGTGTGACCCCCAGACATGCCAGGTGGTGGGGTGAGGCACCATGACAAGTTCTTTGCCAGGCTGGAGCATGGGGAAGGGGTCCTGCAAGACTTCTCAGAAGAGCTGAAGCTCAGGGTGAGAATGTGAGATCAGGTCAGGGCTGTCTCTCTGTCTCCCTCCCCTGCCCAGCTGCCTCCTCCGGCGACAGTCCCCCAGCTCCTCGGCTTTGTTTAGTCTGGCTTGAGTCAATCCACAAGGTCTATAGCAGCTTTCCTGAGGGGAAGAGAAGGAGAAGCCACTGGAAATTGGTGCCCTGTGTCTCCCACCCATTTATTTCCTGCCCTGTGCCCGTTCCTAGGCTTTCTGCTAGCTCCTGCTGAGAAACATCCCAGAAGTGCTGGTGAAGGGAAAGATGCTGAAGGGGTGGGTAACGGGGATCCCTCATTGCCCCAGCTTTGCTTCTCATATTAAAAGCAGTAAACGTTGTCGGCAGAGCCTGGAAGCACTGGTGTCCGTGATGCTGCAGGTGGAAGGGCAGGAGGACTTGGAGAGCAGCGTGGGGAGAATGAGTCCCCCAGACCAGGACCGGCCCAGCATCCGTAGGGAGGGCCCCCTGGGGACAGCCGCTGCTGCCCCAGAGCCACCACGGTGGCTCAGGGTCAGACCCATGTCCCATCCTGCTCCCCGCAAAGAAGCTGTCAAGTCTTTAGTGCACAGACCGGACACGGGAGGGGCCTGCGGGTACCTTTCCTGTAGTTGCACGAGTGTTGGGGTCTGTGAGTATCACCATGTGGGTCAACCAGGCCATAATACCACATACGAAGTGATTACTGCAGGGAAATATTTTTAATATCTTAACTCAAACAGATTTACAAATACAGTTACTAAATGGGTGCCAAGAGCCGCGCTCATCACTGTATGTGCGTCCCTGCCTTCCATCCCCCGACAGCCCTGGGTGTCCCTCCGCAGGTGCTGCACTGAGGGTTAGGGGCTGAGTGACCCCCCGGCACAGACACAGGGCTGACCCCATACCGTACAGCACGGGGATGCACTTTCAAACATAACAATTTCTTAAATCAGGGACTGCATTTACTTGGATATTTCAAGGCCTTTTTCCATCTCATTTTACCACTCTTCCATCTCTGTGTGTTTATCATTTTTGGTAATATGTTTAATCCTTGTCCATTTTGTTAAGGATGTGTTTATCCTGTTTTTCTTTGAGTATTTCTCTAATTTCTTAACTTGAGTTGAAGTGGAAGCATATTTTCAACACTCTTTTGCAACTGGATTCTTGGTAAATGTTCACGGATATTATAAATATTAGCTTCTAGCATGGCCACGATGAGGAGAATTTGTCACTGCATCCTAACTCACGTGGTCTTTCTTCAATAACCCACTTTTGACTATTTAAAATTTTGGTTATTTCCTGCTGAAAGGAAGAAGATTTCTCTGCCCACATCAGCTGTTGTCTGCCTCTGGCTCCGGCACCTTCCCAGCCTCGAGAAGGCAGTGCTGCACCTTTTTGAAAAGCTGATCTCCAATGAGAGAAATTTTCTGAGGAGGATGGAATGCCTGGTGAAAGAGTCACTGCTGGTACGTGCTGGTATTTGTTTTGACAAGGGAAAAATCCTTCAATTCTTCCATCTCTTCAATCAAACAAAAGAGAGGGGACACAAGAGAGCAATTGACACCTCTTAAAATAATTGTGTATTGACATTTGATTTTAAAACTCACCTCATGTGGTGGCTTTTCTGCCTGCTTGGAGCACGCATCATAAACAGGGAGAGAGCTGAGATTTACCTGATTATTGCACTCTTTGTATTACACCCAAAGAATTGATAGTAAGGCAGACTTTCAAAAATAATATTTATTTACACATGTAAAGTAAGTTTTGAAAAATGAGGATCGTATGAATGAGGGGGAATAAAACAAAACCCGAGAAAAATGGTTAAAACAACTAAGAATTCTGCAAGCTTTCTTCTGGAGTAAGGCCACCTGCCTCGAACCACCCCTCCCCACCTGCCACCACCCCTTGTCTTTGGGGCTCCAAGGGCCGATGTGGCCGTGTTGTCTGCTCCAGTGTCAGGCCTGCAGGGCTCACAGGCAGTGCTCAGAAACCAACCAGTCGGGATGTTTTTCCTTTGTGGGAGGCGCTCTGTGGAATTTATGTGCATTTTTGTAAGACTGGGAATACAGACTCATGCACCCTGAGTAAACAACTCAGAAACTACAGGAGGCGCACACGCCCTGGGCGTCTGTCTTACAGGAACCTCAGTGGCTCTCACTTGTTTTCTCATTAGCTTTCATGACCTGGGGGAGACAAGGTACAGAGAGTTTCTCCCTGTTGTACAGATGGAGAAAATTAACTCAGAGAGAGGTGATGGACTGTCGGCTCCTAAGTTGGTGTCTTGGAAACTGGACAGAAGAGAGTGTCCAGCCTTCCTGCTGAGCTGAGCCTTGGGAGGTGTGACACTGTGAGGCTGAGTCCACACAGCCCCCACCTGCCCAACAGCTTCTGTTGGTTTAATTCAGTTGGAACCTCCTGTTTTCTTTCTTTCTCTTTTGCACTGGAGGCTGTAAGGGAATCTAATGACACCAGCTGCCTTCTTCATACGTCATTTCTCGGTGTGGGTCCAGATCCCCCACCAGCTCACGTGAGTGGTCACTGTCCCACGTGCCTCTCCCCCACTTCACAGCCTCCTCTCTGCTTTCCTGTTCTGGGGCCTCCCAGCTGACTCAATAGTGCCCCTGTCGCCAGGAGCCATCGTACTTTCACCTCCACGTTAGGTGGCGCAAACTGACCCCAGCTGGTGCAGAAGTTTGGAATGTTTGATAGGAAAAAGGAGGAAGGAAGACAGGTGTGAACACTGAGAGAGCACAAAGAGGGTTTTTTTTTAGGAAAATTACATTTGACCTCCTACTCAAAAGGACTGCACATTAAGGTGAGAAATTAGACTGCAGCTTATAAAAAAATAATGACAGTAAAACTTAAAATAAACAAAGGCTTTTAACACCCCCCACTACCACTGGCAGCCCACTCCAAGCATTACCTTTATCAAATCTCTTTATTTCTAACTTAAATATAATACTGTACTTTAATTTTCTATAGTCCCTTTTCAGTGGTAAAATACAGTGACTGAGCTCTTCCCTTGTTTCCAAGGTCCTCGTTAAGGCTTTTCCAGTCTGCTCCCTGGAATGAAATCCCAGTCCCGCTGGCTTTTCTCATTTGGTTTGATTCTGCAGCCTTTCACTGGTGCTCACCACTCTCCTATGAGCCTCTCCCGTGTTCTTTATAACTGCAGCCTCAGACCTGAGCAGCCTTGGGTGAGCTCAGGGCCCTGCTCGTGTGAGGGATAGAAGCGGGTGCTCCCCAAGCACCACGTTGTGTGACCTTCAGGCGCCCCTGTGGTTTACAGTAACCTCCCTGGGCAAACAGCATCAAAGTCAGTTGATTTAAAAACTGTCTATCAGGATCATATGCATGGAGATTTAGAGTTTCCATTATGGTTAAAAGGGAATCCAAGCAGGTGTCATTTGGTCTCATTTCCTGTGGCACTGGCAGGATGTGACCTCTCTGTGCCTTACGATTCAAGGAAGTAATTATGGCTCAGAGCCGGAGGCCCCTGACTGGCATGGGCTTTTCTGCTCGGGCATCCTGGGCCTGTGGTGCCAGAAAACCGAGCAGGCTGGAAAGAGCCTGTGGCATGCCTGAGTGATTAGGAGGGTAACCTGAAGAGCCTTCTCGCTAACTGCATCATCTGACCCATTTATCATGGCCACTGTCCCAGCGCCACAACAGGGCCGCACAGAAGCATCAGAGATCTTGGAGCCTCAGACAGCATGGGGCTGCTGTGTTTTCCTCCAGAAGAAACTTGATGCCTATTACATTAGAGCTGGATTCTGACAATAATTAAAGTGTGATGGTCTGCGTAACTTGTATTTTATATGGAGCACTGTTAATTATATTTCCGTCTCTTGGGACTAGCCAGAATTAGCTCTGGAAACTCTATAGTTACTAAGATGTTGCTAAAACAAAAGATAAAATTGTGGTATAGGTTGTATGAAGTGAAATGATCTCCCCAAATGTTCTTTGACCTCTCAGAGACTCAGAGGCCTGGTATTTTCCCTTAAGACTAAATAATAAGATGCTAATCTAATATCACCTCAATTATAAATGCATTTATATATATATGCATTTATAATATATACACACATACACATACATACACAACACACATGTATACCTACATATATGTGTGTGTGTGTATATATATGTTTTTTACCTCTAAAATAAAACTAAGTTTTCAAAAATGCTTTTTCACCTGTGAGATTCACCCTGTGGCTCCCGCAGTCTGGACTGTCCCCTGGCCCAAGGCCCCCTCAGCATCTGGAGGCTCCTAAGTAAATTGTGGTATTAACCTCAGTGTGTCATTTACTATGGAAGCAGACACATTTCAAAAAAGATGGTCTGTGTTTCCCTTGACAGAGCAGTACAGCCATAACCCAGATATTCAGACCTACCTTAAAAACAAATGTCACCAGAGGCGGTGGAAGCCATTTGCTGATTATGCAGCTTTTTGACACTTGGTTTCTAGGCCCGCCCTGAATCATAAGTGTTGTGCTCTCCAGTTACAGTTCTACTTGTGCAACCCAGAAAGCTATTGTTTACATTCCACATTTGGATGAAAAGTACTGGCTGGGTGGTAGGTAGCACTGTACTTAGCTGCCCTGCTGCATGCCAGGGCCAGGATGTCCCCTAGTTCCCACGCCCTCCCATTTGCTCCTTCACTGGCTGACCTCACATGCCACCTGCGTCTGCAGCTGGGTCCAGAGGAACTGCTCTCTGGTGTTCAGGGGCAGATCTGCCCGCAAAGGAGCAGGAAACAGAGGACGGAGAGGGGACAAGAGGCCAGCTTGGTTTTCGTTTTTGTTTGCTCAGATTTTAAATCAGAAAATACTCCTCATATTCTCTCCTACCTGAAAGTCTTCTTAGCTCAATTAAAATAGTTCTTCATCTTGTCAAGTATACCTCAGTAAAGGTGGGGGGGAAATGAGCTGTTGATCTAGTGAGGAGAGCTTAAGAGTGAAAAAAAGACGCTTCAGCACCCCCCTTGACTTCCCTGACGTGAGATGGGATGCGTTCGTTCTTGTCTCCATTCTTCAGATAGCAGTCGTAGCCTCTTCAAAAGAAAGAAACTTCCTTTTGCACAAAATTCCAAACACAATTCACTTTCAATTAAAAATTATACTGATGAATTAACTGCACATCATGGATGATGTTAGTTTTCTGTGCTTGAATAACTTCTTAATAATGTTCTAGGATTTTCTCTTCCTGAGTCTTCATTAGCAGTCTTGTATGCATTCCTTTTTTGAGCTCTTTAACGTGAGGCATGAATCAGCCTGGCAGAACAGGGAGCGTGGCGTAAGGTTGACAAGCAGGTGCGCTTGAACGGTAGTTGCATTTCCAGCCTTGACCCCAGGGGGGCGGCAGATCCCCCGGCACTGTCTCCAGAAAGGCCCAGATCACAAGTTGTTCTCACTACTGGGGACGCGAGCTTTGCAACCGTCAGGGTTGAATGCAGGGAGGAAAAAGCGGGCAGTAGTCGCCTTGGAGGGGCCAGGGCCTCGCAGATGCTAAGCGAGAGGCAGCAGGGAGCTGAGGCTGTGCCTTCCCACTCCCTGGCAGAGGCCCCTGGCAACGAGAGAAGGGCTGCAAGTCTGGGGATTTCGTTCAGCATCCAGAGCCCGCATCCCTCTGTCTTAACGCTCTCCGAGGCTGCAGAGAACACAAAAGTACATTTGGTGCTTGTTAAGTTTTTTTTCTAAGCCCAGAAATGACAGATTTATCACTAATTAAACAATAATTGCATTACGGAGCACTGAAAAAAATTGCTTGTAGTATAAACAACATCTGGTAAAGATTACAAAGAAAGGAATAAGTTTTCCAAGCTCACATTTGTTGAACCTTTTGTTTTGAAACAAAATAGATACTAAGATGTAAAAGGGATACTTACAGTCTTACATTTAGTACTTTGAAAGTAGAAAAGAAAAAAATAGCATAATAAAAATTTTATTTTTTAAGGTGCCTTATTTTATATGATAGATGTGAAGGCTTTAAACAAGTAAATTTTTTTTAAGCCAAATTGTTTTTAAATTCAATAAAGTTTACTATTGAAATGAACTCATCCTTTTTCTTAAAGAAGAAAGTGACTTTTTGCTGATTGTAGTCATCCTTTAATTTAGAGACATGTTAACACCAGGGCCTGTCCGGGACTGGGGTAGTCGGCTGTGGTGGAGCAGGATGGCCGACTGCCAGGGAGGCTACACGGAGTACTTCTCCTCGGCCTTGTGTTACAGAAGACAGTTTCTGAGTGAAATATTTGAGCCCTATTAAATAGACTACGAGAGAGAATCCATTCCAGGCATACTCAGCGTCAGCCTCTTACCTCTCACCTGTAATTTCCCTGTTTATTTTTTAGGAAAAAAAACCATGAAGGGTGATAAATGAAAAAGGCATGAGAATTTTTGTTTCTTCATTGCCTTTTTATTTTTTGTAAGAAGCAGTCGCTTTTAGTGGTGAATTACCTACAATCACAGAATTTCTGGTTTGCATTCTGTTTCTCTCCCTCTTCTGATACGCTCTCTTTTATGCACACACAGAATCAGAAAGTGATAGAATAAAGGAAAGATTTCTTCCTGAGAATTCTGTTTTTACATGTTCTCAGGCCTCTTTTAAGTGGCAAGTGGCTTGTAGTAATCACTGTTGAACTGGGATGAAAGTAACAGATTAGACGTCGAGGACAGAGAGCCAGCATCCTTGTTTTTGTGCGGTCCGTGGTGTGGAGTGACACCTGGCCCTCCCTCCCCTCTCCCTGAGCATTCAGGCTGCAGGAACGTGGCCAGTGCACATTTCTTCTGTGCTGACCTGTTCTGTCAAGGGACGGGAGATAGAGAATGTGTCTCTGGGTGGCTGTGGGTGATGCGAAGGGGACGCACACCCAGCAGAATGATCTGGTCTATAAGGAAAGGAAGCCAGAGCCTGGAGTGCTGCATCATCATCTTGGGTTTATCCTCTGACATTTGGCGAAAGGGCTTGGGGTACATGAGGGGACGCAGGCAGGGCAAACTCATTATGGATGGACTCCTGGTGACAGTTTCCCTAGACTTGAAATGATCTACATGGAAATCATTAGGCCAGATGAAGTAGCTAGGAGTTTGGGAAGGAACAGATTTTGGTAGGATGGAGAAAAACAGACCAATAGATGCAACCAAAGAAAGGTTTTCTGTTCTTTCCACATTTTTATAGGGAAGATTATTGCCTGGATTGTAGTGCTTCAGACCTGGGCTCCAGAGCTCTGGACCAAAGTGGCCTGTGGTGTGTTAGTTTAGGTCCCATATTTCAAATAAAACAGGACACAGAAGAGTTACATGTTTGCCTCTTCCCTCACAAGTATGCTGTAAAGATTTAAAAGGGAAATTTATAGCTTCCAAAGAAGCATAAATTAAGACTTTAATTCTATTTGGAGGATTCCCTTGATAAGAAAAGCAGCTTACATTTGCTTTGTGATTCACTGTCACTGGGACACACGCCTAGCCTGTGAGCACTCTGGGCTCCTTGAGGGGACTCACTGACCCTGCAATTATGTGCTTGGGGTGGAAAGAGTCTCACTTCAGAAGCCATCAGCAAAGGCTTTGGATGAGAAAGAGCTGCCCACAGCTCTGGATGGTGAGGGAAACTTGTTTCCAAATCACGGTCTCTGCCATTGCTGGTTTCTTGGGTTCCCCTGCGGCCTGGCATCTCACCTGTTTTTTGTTTGTTTGTTTGTTTTTGTTATTTGTTTTTGGGGGGGATCAATTTTTTTTTTGGTATCAATCTACAATTACATGAGGAACATTATGTTTACTAGGCTCCTCCTATCACCAAGTCCCCCCACAGCCCTCATTACAGTCACTGTACATCAGCGTAGTAAGATGCTATAGAATCATTACTTGTCTTCTCTGTGTTGCACAGCCCTCCCCGTGCCCCACCCCCATATTATACATGCTGATCGTAAGGCCCCCTTTCTTTCCACCCCCCTTATCCCTCCCTTCCCACCCATCCTCCCAGTCCCTTTCCCTTTGGTAACTGTTAGTCCATTCTTGGGTTCTGTGATTCTGCTGCTGTTTTGTTCCTTCAGTTTTTTCTTTGTTCTTATACTCCACATATGAGTGAAATCATTTGGTACTTGTCTTTCTTTGCCTGGCTTATTTCACTGAACATAATACCCTCTAGCTCCATCCATGTTATTGCAAATGGTAAGATTTGTTTTCTTCTTATGGCTGAATGATATGGCAGAATAATATTCCATTGTGTGTATGTACCACATCTTCTTTATCCATTCATCTACTGATGAACACTTAGGTTGCTTCCATTTCTTGACTATTGTAAATAGTGCTGTGATAAACATAGGGGTGCATCTATCTTTTTCAAATTGGGCTTCTGCATTTTTAGGGTAAATTCCTAGAAGTGGAATTCCTGGGTCAAATGGTATTTCTATTTTGAGCTTTTTGAGGAACCTCCATACTGCTTTCCACAATGGTTGAATTAATTTACATTCCCACTAGCAATGTATGAGGGTTCCCCTTTCTCCACAACCTCACCAACATTTGTTATTGTTTCTCTTGAATGGCATCTCACCTGTTTTAAAAGCTAAAGTGGGTTGTGGAAGCAGTTGGAGAGGTACCCAGGGCCTGAAATGTGTGGATAAAAAGACATCTGAGAGTCATCAGCATGCAGAGCACAGGCCGAGTCCACAGAGTCTGGAAACATTTAAAACACTGGACTGAGCTCTTCTGCTAGAAAATATTGCAGAAAGAAAAGTATGTCCAGCTCTTGTCCTCTCTGTATGAACTGCATTGGAATGTTCTTGTCCCCCCTTGATTTTTTTCACGGGAAGCTCCTCTTCCACACTCGGATCATCCTTTTCTTTGCCATTTGGAAATACCTGTAACAGTAGTGAATAATCTTCAGCTCTTATCAAATTCAGATGATATGGAGCAGTTAGACCATTCAGAGCAGAAGCACTTGTTCTCTTGTACCATCCGCTGGTCGCTTTCTGCTCTGCAGGTCTGCCTGCTCAGGGCCTGTGTTAGTTTGGCCTTAAAACACTCATTCAAGAGGCGTACTCTTTACATATGAGACTTTGAAAAACTGTCCTGGCAGATTTGATGAATCACATTTCTTTAAGACATATTTAGTTTGCATTTTCCTTCTCATTTGATTTTTCTATTAAGAATACATAGAAACTTTTACTGGCATATATCCAGTGACCTCCATAACTGCTGTTATTTACGGTGAGGTTAAGAAACATGGAGATTAACTGATTTATCTGAGACCAAAGCCAGGACACAACTTGCCTCTTTTCTGTTGAACCCAGGCTCTGTCAAATTACTTCCTTGGGTACATAATGAATTCATCTATGAAAAATGTTAGTTGGTTTCTTTTAGGTAAAAATGCACAGCAGTGAAGGATTACAGAGTGTGACACTACATGAAGAACAGATATTCTTAACTTGCGAATCACAAATCCTCTCTCCAAGTGATTAAAAGGAAGTCATCCCATCATTTTAACAAGTGGCAGTCGGGTGTGAACGCCAGGCGGCACATGGTTGGTGATAACTACCTCAGGGCCCAGGCCAGACCCACACAGGGAGTCTGCAGGGGGCAGGGGGGCTCTGTCTTAAGTGTGGTCCAGAAAACCTGAGAGGCAAAGCACATCCTTTTTTCTTTTCTCTTGTCAAAGGGACTATGAAAAAATGTTTTACAAAGCTAGTCATATCAGGTGTGATATGCCTGAACAGTTTCCTCATAGTGCCTAATCCTCTAACATTCGGATGCTGTTGTAAACTACCTGTTTTAGAACATGGATGGCACTTTCGTCTGGCTTAATCTCATGCATTGAGCCCTGGCCAAAAAGATACGGTGCCTGCGTCAGGCCCACTGAAGTCCCACCCAAGCCATGGTAAGTTGGCTTCTGCAGATTTAAGCCATCAGTGCCTGTTCCAGAAATATTCACCAAGTAAATGATCACTCTCATCATTCAAGGTGATGGTATCTTTTTTTTTTTTTCATTAATCCCTTTTCATTCTGACGTAAGCTGCCAACGTCGTAGTGCAAAAAGTGTGGTAATAATCCGTACAACACGGACAGAGCCCAGTCCAGTCCAGAGACCATGCTTGCCTCAGTAATGACTCTGAGTTACCAGTAAGGAGTAGAACACAGACGCAGACCTGACCTTAAGCGCTTGTAGGCCCCGTGAGGAGGTCAGACACATGGGCGCGTAGGTAAGGCCGGCACCACGGGCCCTGCCTTCCGCAGTGGGCTGGAGGGAAGTCCTTCAGCTCCCATCACGGGCCCTGGCTCTCCCTTTGGATCATACGGGTTACTGCAGCAGGTGAGGGACGCACAGGAGCCTGCGAGGAAGTAGTGCTCGCCGTACCCCTGGCCCCAGAGAACCTGTTTACATCTGTCCTCGAGGCCTTTTCTGTGCGCTTTTTTCCTGTGGTTCTCGTGTCTGATCCAAAGGAACTGCCCGTTTCCTAGAAACCAGTGCTCCGGACTGCTTGTTGCCTCATAATAGCAGGTTGTCTTTGTTGAATTGCTTCTGACACATTTCTTTCTGATGATCTTCCCTCCACAGCCTGCAGCAGCCTGTCACCCTGCCATATTCAGAGTCATCGATGAGATGTTCAGGTAAAGGGTTTCTGCTAGTAATTGATCTAAAAATGCTTGGTTTTCGAGTATGAATGGAAGTCCTGTGGTCATCTGCCTGTACCACGCGGTATCCCCGGGAGCTTTCTGGTGAAACCCAAATGTCAGTGTATATTTAAAAGCCAATGCCTAAGAATCAAAATAACCTTTCTTTTTTTAACCTTTTAAAATTCTAATAATGGTAGAAAAACAATTGAATCAGATATTAAATCATAAAGTTTTTATGTAGGATTTTTCTCAGCTCAAAACAAAGGGTAGCAGTTACTCCCTTCACCACATGAGGGCTGACCAATCTTCTTAAAGGGCTTTAAAGCTAAGGAAAACCACGAAAATAAATAAATAATGCCCTTCGCAACAAAGCTCCTTTGAAAGGCAGAGTCAGCGCATGTGGTCTCCCCTAGTTTTTGTCTGTGCTTCTTGGGAAAGGCAGGCGGGTCATGGCTGGTAGTCGGGGAGACCGGGCCCCTCTTAGTCACGAGTCACTGGGCTTTCCAGCCTCCTCCGTGGGCACTGGGGCAGCCAGGGGTCCTCCCTCTCCCCACCCCCAGCCCCTGGCGCTCAGCAGCCGAGGCTCCAGGCAGACGGCATCCACCAGGGCCAGGAATCCTGACAAGAGCAAATAACCGGCACTTACCAGCTTTAGGTGAAATGAACACAAATAAGTCAAGATAAAAAGTAGCTTTTTATTTTAAGCTAGCAGTTTGAGTTGATTTTTTGCTTGTTTGTTTAAACGTAAAAAAAAGTTAGTCACACAAAAATGCATGGGAACCAAAGCAGGTACGCATAGGCTCTCCCAGCACTTTGCCGGGTAGGTTTGGCCACTTACGCCGGGCAGTTTTCTCCACTCAGAAAAGTGAAAGGCCTGCTGATGTTGTGGGTCAGGCTGTACAGAGAGTTCCGGCCTCTGTGGAAGGGGTGTGCAGTGCTGAGTAATTTAACCACCAAAAGAGGGAGCTCTGCAGTACTGAGAGCGGGTGGAAGATTCTGCTTCCACACAAGGACTGAAATCCAACAGGCCAAGGGCTGCTGAAGCTTGGGACGCAGAGAGAGGTCCCCCTCTTCCTTCTGCAGCCCCGGCTCAGTCGGCGTCTCGTGCTCCGCCTCTGTGTTGCTCAGGTGTGTACTCCTGGACACTGACGGCGCCCCGGACATGCTCGCTGCCATCCAGGTGTTTACACGGTGCTTTGTGGACGCTCTGGAAAGAGAAAACAAGCAGGTTTGTTACACTGCACGTCTTTCATTCCCCCCAGAAAAAAAAGACTGTTGAGGATATTTGACGAATCAAAAAAAAGCTCTCTGTTTTCACTGATTTGGGTAGACTGTTGGCTCATGAAGAGAGCTCCCAAATGAGGGCCCAGCATAGGGAAGAGGCGTTTTAATTGAAAGTGAACTGAAGTAGTTCCTGCCTGCACCGTGCCCCAGAAGTCTTCCCAACTGTCGCAGGGAACTGTCCTGCACCGAGGGGTGGCTTTTGGCTTTTCCAGGCCCTGTGTTGTACCCAGCGATGGGCACCCTGTAGTGTCCACGGCATGTGCTGAGAAGCAGTTTCCACTAGTTACAGAGCAGTACTCGGCGTTCTTAGTCATTAGAGGTCCAGGCCCCTACCGACCAAATGTGGACTGATTCCGGGAGGTACCGTGCGTAGAAGGAAAGATCTGCGTCACTGTAGAGGAGGAGTGTGGAGTGGCAGGGGCCCAGCAGGCAGGGTACAGTCAGTAAGCAAGAAGCCATGAGCCCCGCAGGCAGGCAGCTTGCCCAGCAGGGCCAGGAGGGCAGCGGCCACCTCGGGCTGCAAACCAGTCAGAGGAGTCCCAGGACACAGGCAGCTTCTCTGCCGGACCTCCTCTGCCCCACGTCTCAGCTGGCCTGCGCTTCAGCAGCTTCCAGGGCAGCCTGCCGTCCCTTGTGATGCTGGCTGCAGTGTGACCTGAGAGGCTCACCGCATCTAAAATCCTGGGCGCTGCTGTGCCAAGAGCCCTTGGGTTTTAGCACACTCCTGCTTGAAAGGCAATGGTAAATATTTGTGATGTCTTTTCCCTGTCCCCTCTTTCCCTGGGGGGTTAGCTGGAAGGCAGAAAATGGGGTTATTAGTGGAATTCGGGAGGAGAGCTGCTGAAAGGCATAGTTGGCCCCCACACTTACTTTGAGGCATAACTATAAATATCTTAATCCTCCCATGTACATTCTTCGTGTTCCTGGTTAGGAACCAACCTGTGGAAAACCTCCCTTTGGCTCCGGAAACACACCGAGGTTGGGGCGGAGGACCCGGTCACAGAAGCGTTCTCTTTACTGTTGGCCTAAGTCTGTTTCTGGGACCAGCTCGTTCCTGAGCCCTGGCTTGAGCACTTGGGTCTTGGCTGGGGTTGCAGTCATTCTGTGTATTTTTAGTTTTATCCTTTTTTTTTACTGAGGTATAATGGACATATATTCGTTTCAGGTGTACAGCATGATTCAGTATTTATATATATTGCAAAATAATCACCAAATAAGTCTAGTTAATATCCATCACCCCCTCAGGTATAAAAAATTTTTTTCTTGTGATGAAAACTGCAGCTTTCAAATATACAAAGTACAGTGTGATAACTGCAGCACCAGGCATATGTCATATGCCCAGGACTTATTTTATAACTGGAAGCATGTGCATCTTGCCTCCTTCTCCCACTTCACCTGCCCCAGCCCTGGCAGCCACCAACCTGTTCTCTTTATTAGCTTGTTATTTTTTTCTTTAAGATTCTACAGAAAGGTGAGATCATATCATATTTGTCTTTGACTGACTTACCTCATGTAGCATAATGTCTTTGAGGCCCATCCATGTTCTTGCAAATGACACAATTTCATTTTTTTAAAGGTTTAGTCATATTCTGTTGTGTACCTAACACACACACTTTCATTAGCCATTCGTCCATCAGTGGGCTCTTAGGCTGTCCTGTCGTGGCTGTTGTGAAGAATGCTGCAGTGGACATGTGGTGCAGAGATCTTCTCATGTCCTTCAGATAAACACCCAGCAGTAGAATTCCTGGATCATATGGTAGTTCTTTTTAAAATTTTCTGAGGAAGTTAAATCCATGCTCTCTTCCATAGTGGCTGCACCAATCTATATTCCCACCAGCAGGGTTCCCTTTTCTCCACATCCTCATCAACATTTGTTATTCTTGCCTTTTTTATAATAGCCATTCTAACAGGTGTGAGGTGACATCTCTGTGTGGTTTTGACCTGCATCTGGTGAGGTTGAGCATCTTTTCAGTGCTTGTTGGGCATTTGTATGTCTTCTTGCCCACCTTCTCATTGAATTGTTTGGGCTTTTTTTGTTGAGTTGTATGAGTTTTTTATATATTTTGGATATTAGCCCCTTATCAGATACATCATTTGCAAACATTTTCTCCCATTCAGTAGGCTGCCTTTGCATTTTGCTGAGGGTGTCCTTTGCTGTGCAGAGGCTGTTTAGTTAACTGGTTTATCTTTGCTTTTGGGGTCAGAGCCAAAAAACTATGGCCAAAACCTATGACAAGGAGCTCACTGCCTATGTTTTCTTTCAGGAGTTTTATGGTTTCAGGTCTAAAATTCAAGTCTTTAATCCATTTAGAGTTAATTTTTGTGTGTGCTGTAAGATAGTGACCAGTTTCATTCTTTTGCATGTGGCTGTTCAGTTTTCCCAAAACCATTTGTTGAAGAGCTGTCCTTTCCCCATTCTGGCTTCTTTGTCATAAATTAATTGATCATTCGTGGGTGGGTTTACTTCTGGGCTCTCTGTTCTGTTGATCTGTGTATCTGTTTTCACACCAATTTCATGCTGTTTGGATTACTATAACTTTGGAATAATGTTTGAAATCAGGAGCATGTTGGCACCAGCTTTGTTCTTCCTTCTCAAGATTGCTTGGCCATTAGGGGTCTTTTGTGATTCCATATGAATTTTAAGATTCATCATCCTATTTCTGTCACTTTAAATTTGGAATAGCACCCTGCCCAGGCTACGTGTGTCTGGTGGTACAGAGGGGCACGCCGACACCAGTGGAAGGAGGTCAGGGATGCAAAGAGAAACAGGAATTCCTTATCCTCACCTTGGGCTCAGGATAAGAGGGCAGTAACCTCTTCTCTCTGCAGATGCCTTCATATGAATGTGTACATCATTTCTCTTCCCAGAGCTGATTGCCTGCCTTTCTAATTAATGGGCATCCCCTCCTTCTTGAGTGCCTGCTTCTAAATTAATCATAATCCTTGTGCATGATACCCTGTGTCCTCTGTGGTCCATGGATACCCTCTTTTATTCACCTAATTCATTCACTCATGTGTTCATTCTGAATGAGTATCTAAGTACCCCACATTCAAAGAAGACCTGGACCCATAGGATGTCTCCATGTGGTCCTCCTCTCTATCCTATCTGCACTGCAGGAAACAAACAGCAAACAGGAGTAGGTCACTGCATGCCGTCTTCTGTGCCTTGCTTTCCCACTCCGCGTGTGGCTCCCACCAAGGGCGTGGCTCCCGTGCTCTGTGTGGGGGTGCTGGGCTGTCCCTGCGCACATTCCATTGGGATGGTGGTTGTGGGTGGGCGTGTCATCACCTGCCAGGTCGTGGGCACTTGAGTTATTTCCAGATCTTTTTTCTTTTAAGAACGAAGCTGCTCTTAGCACTCTGGGATGCGTCCTTGGGAGCAACAGTGCTGGTTGGTTACCAGCTGTGCAAAGGTTCACCTCCTCGATGCAGCCACATTATTCTCATCTGTGGGTGTACCAATTCTCACTCCTTCCAGCTGTTTATGAGAAACCCTATTAATCCACATTCTTTCCCATAGTCAGAAATGTTTATCTTCAGTGCTTCTCACTCTCTTTTTATCCTTTCCTCTCTCCCTTGTATTTGGAGAGCACAACACAGCTCCATCCATTTGCCCAGAAAGACTGGGAGCTGCTTTTTCTGAACTTGCACAGCGGCTCAGAACACACAGCAAATCTGTTCAGGTGCTGGCTCAGTAATTGACAGTCTGATGATGAACTAGACTGAATCTCTTACAGATAGTTATAGACTCTGAGCAAAATATTTTTACAAACTGTTTGAAGCCACTGGGGAGCAACTTAAAAAGCAGGCAGAAACTAGAGGGGAGTCAACCCTTGAAAAAGGATACCAGATAAGGGACTTTTCTCTATTTCCCCTTAGAGTTCTTATGAAATAAGTGGGAGGGACACTGAGTGGGGTCGGGCGCCAGAACTTGGCACAGTTTGATTAATTTGCAGCTTAAAAAGACAGAGACATGAGCTGTCAGAGAAGCAAAACTTCATGGGACAAGAGAAAACTAATATCAAAGATAGTAAACCTACTTACATCAACAAATACATTGATTCCAAAACTGAATGAAACTTGACTAAATACAGCAATAAAAAGGCACAAATGTCAGACTGCATTAAAAACCAAGACCCTATATTCTGTTTTTAAGACACTCATACCAGTTTTAAAGACACAGATGGATTAAAGTAAAAGGAGGAAAGAGTTATGTTCTGTAGTAAGCAGCAGGAAAGCTGGCCTGGCTCTCCAGCAGCAGATGGAGTAGACAGGCAACCAGAGGTAAGGGGGGCATTTATAATGACAGAATGCTTGGGACATCAGGAGAAATACCAGTTACAATTGCGTATGTGCTTAATATCAGAGTTCTGAGATGTGACACAAAACTTGACATGCAGAAAGAAACATAGACAAAACCAGTCATATATAAATTACTTAGGAGTAAATTTAACAAAGGGGGTGTAAGACCTCTACACTGGAAACTACAAAGCACTGCCAAAAGAAAATAAAGAAAACTTAACTATATGAAGACAGAAACAATATTCTTGAATTGTTAAGATGCCTGTTCTGCCCAGATTGGTCTGTTGCTTCAGTGTGTTCCCAGTCAGAATCCTAGCAGGCTCTTCAAAAAAGAAATTGATAAGCTGATTCTAAAACTTAGATGGAAATACAAAGCACCAAAAATAGCCAGAACACCCCGAAAACTACAAGACATTCTTAAGAGAAATTAAAGAGGACACTAACAAATGGAAACTCATCCCATGCTCCTGGCTAGGAAGAATTAATATCATCAAAATGGCCATACTGCCCAAAGCAATATACAGATTCGATGCAATCCCTATCAAATTACCAACAGCATTCTTCAACAAACTGGAACAAATTGTTCTAAAATTCATAAGGAACCACCAAAGACCGCGAATAGCCAAAGCAATCCTGAGAAGG